AATAGCCAAAAATACATTGTATGGGTCAAAATGATTGATTTTTATTTTATACCAAAAATCATTAGGATATGAAGTAAAGATCATGTTCCATGAAGATATTTTGTAAATTTCCTGCTGTGAATATATTAAAACTTAATTTTTGATTAGTAATATGCATTGATAAGAACTTAATTTGGACAACTTTAAAGGCGATTTTCTCAATATTTTGATTTTTTTTTCCAGATTTCAGATTTTCAAATAGTTGTATCTCGGCCATATATTGTCGTATCCTAACAAACCATACATCAATAAAAAGCTTATTTATTCAGCTTTCAGATGATGTATAAATCTCAATTTCGAAAAATTGACCCTTATGACTGGTTTTGTGGTCCAGGGTCACATATACACACAGTTCAAAACCTAAAGCTCTTCTTTCATGAGCTCCTACGTTTCTGTTCAAGATTGAAAGTAATTGGCAGAGAGATGTTGAAAAATTCATGGTAAACACAAAAGCAAGATTGAAACCAAACTTTTTTTTTTTTACTGTAAGCATTTGTGGTTGTGAATACATGTGTAGTTGTGTAGATGTGTATTTATAGGCCCATTCTAAAGCCATGATTGCTTGGTGTTAAGTAAAGCAACGTGTGTTTGCACATGTGAAGGAGTTAGTGTGAGGCACTGATGAATTAGTGTGGCATTTTGATTTGTAGTGCTAATGTTCGCCTCTGGGTGGGGTATTTTCTCCTTTTTGTGTCCCTTTGTAGGCTATTTTACCCTTGATTTTTGCTGCCTTGTTTGATATTATAAATGGTTGATTTAGTAGATCAGTAACAATATTACAACATATAGGTTACACTACAATAGTCTATAATATATAACATATAATAGTGTGTATTGTTACATTTTGAAAAAAAACCATGCAAAACATTTCATAACATTTTCACACAGGTAATGAAAATATTTACCAGGTTTTGAAAATATTTAGGTCTGATGATTTGTCTGGCCAGGGGAGATGTTGAAGTTCATCTTGGTGCTCCAACTGTCCAGGTTTTATAATTATAATACCATCTTTGCTGTATTTTGGCACTGGCGTCTGTGATTACACAATCCTTAGTAGTGTTTAAGGGGCCCTTTCATTCACTTTAGGTTGTCGCCCACTGTTCTTCTTCACTGATTAAATTTTGCCATGCTTTGACTACACAGTCATAATCATAAACACTATTACTCTTAAAGGGATAGTTCACCCAAAAATTTAAATTACCCTCTGATTTACTCACCCTCAAGCCATCCTAGATGTATATGACTTTCTTCTTTCAGATGAATACAATCTGAGTTACATAAAAAATGTCCTGGCTCTTCCAAGATTTAGTGAATGGTAGTCAAGATTTTGAAGCAAAATAAAGTGCATCCATCTATCATAAATAGTACTCCACATGGCTCCGGGGGTTAATAAAGACCTTCTGAAGTGAATCGATGCGTTTGTGTAAGAAAAACATCCATATTTAAAATTTCATAAACCATAATCTCTAGCTTCCCCTAACTGTCATACTGGCGTTCACGAGAGAGTGGTGTTCCAGCGGATGACGTAGGAGGTAGGCGTAGCGTAAGCTCCGGTGAGAAGTGACAAACCCGGAAACACCGATCACGAATTAGAAGTACAAAACGAAGATTTGTAAAGAAAAATGTCGGACGATTTCGATATAAGCCAAGAGGAGACTGGTTTTCCTTTGCTGTAAACAAAACTTGGTTCTCGTGAGACTAGCATATTCTCACTGTAGCTTACGCTATACCTAGGCTATTTCCTACATCATCCGCTGGAACACCACTCTCTCGTGAACAAGCGTTTTAAATATGGATATTTTTCTTACACAAACGCATCGCATCACTTCAGAAGACCTTTATTACCCCTCCAGAGCCGTGACATATGTACATTTTATATATTGCTTCAAAATCTCAACCACAATTCACCGGCATTATAAAGCTTGGGAGAGCCAGGACATTTTAAAATGTAAGTCTGATTGTATTTGTCTGAAAAAAGAAAGTCATATACACCTGGCTTGACGGTGAGTAAATCGAACTATCCCTTTAAGAGCAACAGTTTTTATGATTATGACTGTGTAGTGTAGACAAAGCATGGCAAAATTCAATCGAATAAAAGAACAGTGGGCGAGAAACAAAAGTGAATAATAGGGACCTTCGAACACTAATTTTGCACTTTTGGGATTTGCCCTTTTTGGAAGTCTAACAATAAGCACTACACTGAATACAACTTATACTACACTGACACAAGCTAGAGAGTAGAGACAACAAAGGCGAAATATAAAAATAAGGTAATCACAATGTTTTTTTCCCCCCACTGTAGCCTACAGAAATGATATTAACTCCTATAATAATGAGTGTTATAGTCCAACCCCTGCAGTAGGCTATAAATATCACTTTACAATCACGCCAAAACAAACGTATTTACATACGTATATTGCTTTAAAGAACATTAACCGCAGCAGCGTTAACTGAGTTTAAGAGTATTATCCTATATTGTGCAGACACCCCAACCAACATCGTCGCATAGGATAGTATTGGCTGTTACAAAGCATTTTACATCCACTCTAATTTTAGTTCTGCTTATAATGTTCTGATCTGACGTGCTCGATCTGTACTGGACAGTGGAGCAATGACTGTTGATTGGTGTTCTGCAATCTGCTCTTCTCTCATACCTCGCACTGTGTGTGAGTGTGATTAGCCATCAAAAGCAGTGGAGTGGAGGGAACGAGTGCTTGTCTGAGTGCGAGAATCAGGGAGACAGTATTCTAGCATAGCACAAGGAAGAGCATTCGACACTCTTAAGTTTTAACCTTAGGGATTTTCATATCAAACACACACACGTCATTAGCCTACATCAGCGTGCTGCTCTCCATGGAAAAATCTTACAGAGAATTGAAGTCGTAGCTCAATGAACAAACTAGACACCTGAACTGTATTTCTCAACTCGGAAACAGACGGAATGCAGCCAATTCTGTTTGCAGCAGCAGTGCTCTTTGCGCACGACCTCGCCGTGGCC